CCTGCCCCTTCCCGTTGGACACGGGCGCGCGGCGCTCGGGAAGCGCACGGCAGGATTGCCCAGCCCGGCCGCCAATCGCCGGGCCTGAGGCCTACGCGCCAATTGCCTGCAACGCTCAGAAGCGAGACAGGACCTCGCTCAGAGCTGTTTACCTAGTGCCTGACTAAAGCTGAGGAAAGGTGTCGCTTCCCGCCTCGCCGCCAAGCACTGTTCTCAGCAAAAGTAAATGGCTCTGCTCTCGTCTTCCCGCAGCGGTTCTGTGTCCGCCTGCGGTGCCGGAGGGTGGGAGCGGGTCTGCCCGCGCTCACCAGGCAGCGCCACGGGCACCCGCAGGGATCGGGTCCTCGGGAGCGCGGGGCTCAGGGTGTCTGTGATTTCCTGAGAGGATGAGAGGGTGTGTCAGGGGTGTCGGAGCGGGAGTGAGACGTGTCCTGTAGCGGGAGGCGGAGGCAGCGGGCCCTGCCCTGCCCTGCCCGGCCCATCCCCGAGGCGCCGTCCTGTGCCTCGGCCTTCTCCTACCTCCGGGGCTGCTTTTGCGATCTCTGTCGGAGGCTGCTCTCTGCTTCAGCCCTTTTCTCCCCTGCTGTCGCTGCCTTTGCTGCTCCAGATTGCGAGATCCGCGGTTTAACAACCTCAACACCCGCGGCCTGTCCCTCGCCTCGGTCTCCGTTTTGCCCCGTTAGTTCGGAAAACGTGGCGATCCCTGCGGGGGTTGCAGTGACGCGTGAAATACATGTACAGACTTCCTCGCCCGTTTTTAATGGGTATTGTGTGTTGTTATAACCCTCATGATTCAGGATACCCGTAGTAACAAGGTTAAGAATGGGTTTAGGAAGTGATGCTAGGTGGGTTTTCATCTCCAACTGAACGTTGTCCAGGGAAGAACGGCCGTCGAGGTTTTGCAGGCAGATCAGCTTTCTCTACTTAAGTGCACCCGATACCCTTGAAGTTCTGAGCTCCAGAGACATGAGATTATATAAAAGACTTGTTAAAACGTTTCACTCTAATAATTATTAGCAACTTCCTAAAACGATTTGTATCGATGCTGCATTTATTATTTTAAATTATATAATGTGTAACGTGTATTTGTAGTCAAAGCTTTAGAAGAGAGCATGCTGCTGAAATGAAGCACATCACTGACAGCTGAAATTAACTTGTTCTGATGGGAAAGTAGTTTCTGAAATGTGAGAGATCTTTTGTAATCCTAAACAGACATTTATTATAATGAGTATACTTACTATTTCAGTATAGTACAATATTTGCAGTAAGGGGAATTGAGGGAAAATACTAGAGAGCTCCAGTTTCTTCTTTTTTTTTTTTTCTTTTTATGTCCTCCTCTTCCTCCCTATGGTTTTATTCTCAAGCTGTTTTGAGCTTACTGTATAACCAGAACTTCACTCAGGAGTTCTCTTTACTTATTTTCATGCACCTTTTGTTTTTTTGGTTGATGTCCCCCCCCTCAAGTATTATAAATGCAGATGCTCCAGAGCTCAGCTGGAGAGAGGTGTGAGGGGTGCTGCTTGTGCAATCAGAAAATGACAATGCCAGTAATACTATTTTTCCTTCCAGGTAACTAGATTCAAAAGTGAGGAAAAAATGACAGTAGAGTGTAAAAGGGGTGGATGACAAACAGCAAGGTGCAAGAAAACTGTTCTAGTTACTGCCATCATCATTAATTTAATAAGTGAACAATAATTTAAATGTAGCCTTGGCAGCATTTGGCATCTTCCTTAGGCTTCTGTCCTACTGAGGTGGTGTTGCATTTCTTATTGCTAGTATCCCTCAGAAAGGACAAATAATAGATTCCAGTAGAATAGGGTCCTCTTTTGGCTTGTATGCTGTCAAATATAGAAATTACTTTAACAGTGCCCAGTAGAAAGAAGAAAAATAACTTTCTGCTTGACATACTTTAACTTTTTTAGCAGATACAGAGAAACAGAATAATCAGGCACCTAATATTTTCTACTTATTCATAACATTTTCTCTCTGTCACATCTGTCATATGTTCTTTCCTTTGGCCATAGGTTGGCCACTTCAGGGGAGAATGTTTTGTCTCTACCTTACTTGGGTGTACCAGGTATATTAAATTATGGGTGAGTGCAAAGAGAAGTCTGATTTGCTGAAGGACAAACTTTGTTTTTATTCTGTGGGTTTTTTTGTTTGGCCTAACATAATTTTTCTGATTCATGGTCTCTTTATCATCCAGTCTAGTTTGCTGATACCATCTTACTGTTTGAACAGAGAGATGCTGCTTGTTGTTTTGTTGATGGTTTAGATGTTGTGGGTTTTGCTTAAGGTCTTTCACCCAGGCTGAGAAGCATCTGGGAAAACTCTCTTGTTTCTCTTCCTTTTTGATTTCCTCTCTCACTTTCTTTTATTACTTTCTTTTCCACCCAACATACAGCTGGAAGGAAAGGTTTTATGTTAGAGTGTGAGAAATCCTTGTGTGGGGAACTGGGAAAGTGAAAACAAAAACTGTCTATCATTTAAGTACTGGAAATAGTTGAAAAAATTGTTCTGACTGTTCAGACAGAACTGGTGTTACACGTAGAAGCCATGTAATTGAGTTGCCTATTTTAATGTATTATTAGTAAAGCAGAGTTGCAGGTTTTTATCTACACTCCCACTTTTAGCATGCAATTTTCCTGTTAACATTAATGCAGACATGAAATTAAAATCATCACTCTCTGGTTGTGCTTTTTCCAAGCTTGGCTGTTACACTTATTTTCTGTTTTGGGTGATATTAAATTTTGAAATTGTTTTGAAAGTGCAGGTTTTAGAGAACCATAGCCATGTGCATTTCAGCTGAGTCATTAAATTTGGGTTTTTTTAATTAATTTTAATTAGCACTATAAAAACAGGAGAGTTGTCAGAGTGTATATAGGATGAATTTTGGCACATCTCATACCTTGAAATGAATGTCTAGAATTCAATATCAGTTTAAGACCATCCCTCAAAATAAGCTGGTGTTTTGCACTTATAGGCAGACCATTAGGTTTTACTGTAAAAGGGTCACAAGAAACTTAGTTGCTCTTCCTAATTACTAAAGCATTTAAAATAATTTTTTCAAACAACCAATTTAATATTAAAGTTTAACATTGTATTGATTTTCAGATAAGTGTATATGGAGCTCAGTTGTCATCAGAAGCTTGCAGAGAGCTTGGCTTCTCCAGCAACTTGCTGTGCAGTTCTTGCAACCTTCTCGGACAGTTCAACCTGAATGAGTTGGATCCTTTCTGCAGGCAGTGCTGCCAAGAAGAAGCTCAGCTAGAAACAAGAAAGGTGAGTTTGAGGCCAAATCCTTTGTAGAATAATTTAATACATTAAGTTATGCTTATGAAACTTTTTATTTGAAAATATGTGAGAGTCTCTGTTACAATCTCAAGAGGAAAATGCAGTGTTTTTTGAGAGACCAATATGCAGGGTCTAGAATTGCAGACTTGCCAGACTGCTCTAAAATAACATCCCTGTATGGAGGGGAGGAACCTTTGGTTCTGCGACAGCCCCTCTTTAGTATGAAGTGACTAATGAGCAATGTCCACCTTCTTTAAATTAAAGAAGTATGGAATTGGAAGAGAGCAAAAAAAGAGGATAAGGAGACTGGTGTTCTTGATCACAGCCGTTGCTTGGTCATTGACCCATAGTGTAATGTCCAGGATAGTTCAGTTCAGTCCCCATGAGCAAAAGGCTGGTGCAGCCCTCAGGTCTGCTTCTGAATTGGCATGAAGGCTGGGACCTGACAGAAGCAGGGCTGCTCAACTCTATTCTGCAGCAGTGAAAACAGCGAGGTTCCAACAGCTAGAAATATTAGCAATGTTCTTGCTCAGATCCCATGCTGTGCTTCAAGTCAGGCTAAGGCAAAACCTTTCCTTTGTCTGTAGTGAGTAAGTAATCTACCTTGCTTAAGGTATGTCAGCAAGGAAGAATTTTTAGAGCCTTCAAAAAGATACATGCTTTCCAATATGTTGTATTTTAAAAGTACTCTAGAATGTATTGAGTACCAATGAATTATCAGGAAAGTAGAGATTTTAAGAAGAGATGCTGAAATTATTTTTAATAGCTAGGAAAAGATGAAATAACTAATGACATGGTATTAACGATAAAATCTAGCAGGTTTCTCACTTTCTCCAGTGAACCGGGTTTTGTTGTATATTCATAGCAACCAAGATATTTAATAAGTGGTTGTTTTTTTAATCTGTGTTAGTTTACCCAGTTTCATTTTCTGCATCTTCTCTCTAGTAAATTAAAACGATATACTGCAATAGCAGAATTCAATATACATCTTGATTATTACTTTGTATTTTCTTACTTCTGTGACATTTTTGAAGAAATTTAATACAAATGACAGTTGAGATTTGGAGCTCGCATGTTAAGTATTGGATTGAAGTAGAGGAGTGATTGTGATAGTGTTTTCATATCTGGATTTGAATGCAGGCTTTCTGTGCTGTGTGTGTGAATAGAAATACTGGATTGTTCTAACATTGTGGTTACATAGTTGAATGCAAAATTATAGCATCATTTCGAATATTATTTTGAATACTGTTTCAGAAGGTGGACATTTTTTATGCTGTTACCACTGCTTGGAAATGTGTATTTTGGATATGCTGGGTTTGTTTACCTATTTATTTGCTTTCTAAACTTGCACCGAGTAACTTCCTTTGAAGACTGGCCAGGAGAAAATTAGTGCTTGGAGAAATCCTCGTAGATAAGCTAAGGAAATGTGGTCTTGATGATCAGGTAGTGAGATGGATTGTGAATTGTGAACTGGTTGAAAGGAAGAAGTCAGAGAGTTGTGGTCAATGGGACAGAAGCTAGTTGGAAGTCTGTTACTAGTGAAGTCCCTCAGGGGTCAGTACTGGGACTGGTACTGTTCAGTATTTTCATCAATGACCTGAATGATTGTGCCCTCAGTAAGTTTGCTGATGACGCTAAACTGGGAGGAGTGGCTGACACACCGAAAGGCTGTGCTGCCATTCAACGAGACCTGGACAGGCTGGAGAGTTGGGCAGGAGGAAACTTGATGAAATTCAACAAGGGCAAGCATAGAGTCTTGCATCTGGGGAAGAGCAGCCCCATGTACCAGGACAGGTTGGGGGTTGATCTGCTGGAGAGCAGAGTAGGAGAAAGGAACCTGGGGGTCCTGGTGGACAGGAGGATGACCATGAGCCAGCAATGTGCCCTTGTGGCCAAGAAGGCCAATGGCATCCTGGGCTGTATTAGAAAGGGTGTGGTTAGTAGGTCAAGGGAGGTTCTCCTCCCCCTCTATTCTGCCTTGGTGAGGCCGCATCTGGAATATTGTGTCCAGTTCTGGACCTCTCAGTTCAAGAAGGACAGGGAACTGCTTGAAAGAGTCCAGCATAGAGCCACAGAGATGATTAAGGGAGTGAAACATCTCCCTGATGAGGAAAGGCTGAGGGAGCTGGGCCTCTTTAGCTTGGAGAAGAGACTGAGGGGTGACCTCATCAATGTTTACAAATGTGTTAAGGGCGAGTGTCAGGAGGATGGAGCCAAGCTTTTTTCAGTGATGTCCAGTGATAGGACAAAGGGCAGTGGGTGCAAACTGGAGCACAGGAGGTTCCATGTAAATATTAGAAAAAACTTCTATATTATGAGAGTGACAGAGCCCTGGAACAGGCTGCCCAGAGAGGTTGTGGAGTCTCCTTCACTGGAGACATTCAAAACCCGCCTGGACGCGTTCCTGTGTGATGTACTCTAGGTGATCCTGCTCTGGCAGGGGGGTTGGACTAGATGATCTTTTGAGGTCCCTTCCAACACCTAGGATTCTGTGATTCTGTGAAATGACCACAGATACTGTCTTACCAGATTGTATTCATAGTAATCACTTTTTGGATTGATTCGTGTTTTAATATTGTGCTGGTTGTAATAGGTGTCTATGATTGGGCTCAAGATTGTACTATTACATAAAAATTAACTATCTAATTTATAGTAGCTTCTTGCTAAAGTGGTATTTTCATTATATTTGTGCAGCATAGAAAAATTGCATTCTGCATTTTGCTATATTTTTTCCCTCTTCCTAGTTTTTTTCAGGTTACCATTGAAATCTTCTTTCTAATGAAAATTTGACAGTCAGGAGTGAATGTATGTTGAAAGTCTTAAAAGGTTTTTTTTCCCTAGCCTCTTGCCTGAAGAATTTTTCAGTCTAACACTAAAAACCTGCCTCTTGATGTACAGGGTCTGACATACTGATTAGCAACCACATATGTGGCTGTCCTGGTTTGAGCCAGGATGAAGCCAATTTTTCTTTTTACTGATTTTTTGTTCCTTCAGTAAGATTTCTTGTAACTAGCAACAGTGTGTTCTGCTAGGCTGATAAGACAGTGGAATGTTTTTCTAACTACTGAGGCTTCAAGACCGCACCTGCACTCTGCCGGCTCAGACACTATGGGGAGATCTGTGACCCCCCTGTAGGAGGCTGAGTTAGATGGACAACAAAATTGGCCAAAGATATTCCATTCCATATATCTACGTAAGCTCAAAGGAAGGTCAGAGATCACAGAAGACAACTTCCTTCCTTCTTCTTCTCCCCTTCTTCTTCTCCGCCGTCCATGGCCGGTGTCCGGGGAGGACTCTGTTCATCCATCACCATCGATCCTCAGGCTTGATCTCTCGTGACCCCCATAACTCTCTGCTTTCTCCAGCAACAGCTTCGGGATTCCTCGGGACTCTTCCCAGTTCAGGGAAGTGCTGTGGGAGTTGCTGGGGTGGGGGGAGGCGAGAGGCTTTTGCCCATACCTGAATCTATCTGTATATAATTGTATATATTTTCTTGTATCATTCATTAGTGTTTTAATTAAAGCTGTGTAGTTTAGTTTTCAATCCAGCCAAGTCTCTCTCTTTTTCTCTCTCTCCTTCCCTACCTGGGTGGGAGGAGGAGGGGATCGAGAGCATTGTTGTCGGACCTGAGTCAAACGGTGACAGTGGCTGAGTTGAAGAGCAGTGATGCTTTGGGTTTTTCTAATGCTATGACTACATGTTTGAACATCTTCAAAGTACACACTTGTTTTTTTTTCTGGAACCATGATACCAGTATCTGACCCAGCTTGCTCCTTATGTGAGTAGGTATTTGTTCCCATCATGTGACACAGTGTGTTGGTAATCTGTGCTACAAACAGACTTGCATACTGTTAAAATACCAGGACAGACTATAGGATTTTAAATTAATTACCCTTGTAAGTATGTGGCAAGTGTCAGAAACAGAGAAAGCAAGAGATGGTTTATTATTATATTATGACTTTTGCTTGAGGTTTAAGTGAAAATTTAAAATTCAAGGTAAGGAGGTATCGTGTATCTCAGAATTTTATCTATCATTGCTGCTTTCCACAAATTATCTATAGATGTCCAGTCCTAAAAATATTTTGTGCTGCAGAGCATTGGTGCAACCTGAAATGAAATGTTTGCAGATGTCAACTGTTTCATATTCCTGGAAGATACTTATTAATCCTGGTCTTGCTATTGGTCCAGTATTTTGTGAATTGACATTGTGTAAAATAGCTGTGAGCTACGCTTGTTACGCAGTACTTGTTGTTTTCTTAACTTCTGGTGACACCTGTCCAGTGAAATACTTTAATTACTTCATAATTGTACTGTCACTAAAATGAAAAAAAAATTGTTTATATTCTTTTCGTCTAGAGATTTTGTATTCACTTTCAGACTAATTCAGAAGCTAGCTTAAACAGTATTGCTTTAGACAGCAGCAAGTTTTAAGCCTCAGTCTGTCAGATGCAGAGCACTGCTGGTGTGTAAAATGTAGAAGGATGAAATGGAGGTGAAGCTAACTGTGCATGAAATTGTAGTAGCAGGAGAGATTGTCCATATTTTTCAGTAGCTGAAAATAGCTTCACTCCATCTGCAGTTTCACTTATGCTGTGTGCACATTTCAGACATAGCTATAAGCATATTCCATTAATTGGGTATTACATGTTGGATTTATCTCCACAATACATGCATGTCAAAATCCAAATTGATTTTAAGAATCAACTCTGAAATTTGCAATACATTAAATTTCACAGTTGCATTCTGTGGGATTGCTGCAACCCTTAAGAGTCATCAGTATTTCTAAACGGAGCTTTGAAGTATATTTTGCTCACTAAGATGTGTTGAACTTCAGCATTTTCAATTTCTGTTGACAAGTATTTGTCATGTTGCAATGTTACAGTTTTTGGTGAATTAGGTAATGTGACATCAGGTGTAAGCAAAAGTTGGCCAAGAAATTTGTGGCGTAAAAATGGATGGTTTAGATGGAAAAAGGTCATGGGTAACAT